CTTTCTTGTCTTCCATCTCAGTTGTTTGATACTTTGTGAGGGTCCTAGACTTCAGCAGTGTGCCTGGTATTGCTGTTACTGCACAAGGTGTGAGTCCAAGATGGTGCCACTTTAGATGCCAGAGGGGAATCATGCCTTGCAGGCTAGTGAGGTGGCACACAAATATGCATGTTCCTTCAGCAGAGTGTGTCTATCCTATATGGCTTTTTGCCATACTTGTTCCAGGTAGGAAGCAGAAACCTCAGTAATCTTTTGGGTCCCATTTTCCGTGTACTGTCCCTCCCTTTTGGTATGCTGCTTGTCCTAGCTTTCCTAGGTGTGTTAGTCTTACCTTGGGTGAAGCCAGCAGCTGCCTGAATCCCAGTCACGTTTGTTCACGTCCTTATGGCTACGTCTTGCCATTTCCTGGTGTTGTTAAGCTACTGTTGTAATTTTTCAGCAAAGCATAATTTCATATAACGATCTCTCATCCGTGTATTGACCAGACTCAAACCCACTTAGCTTGTGAAATTTGATAAGAAACAGTTCAAGGTGGTTTGGCTGCAGAGAATGTTTGCTAAGTTTTGCAGTAAAAATCTGTGCCAAAACACTATGGGGCCAAATTCACAGACAGAGCTGAGCAGCTCCAATCTGACACACATACATGCTGCAAATGTGCATGCACATGTGTAGCACTTTCTTCTGCATAAATGAGATTATTCATGGAGAAGCAAAAATATTCAGCAAAGAGCACACTCTTTAAGGCTCTTCTCAGGTAATGAGGGAGACATGTATTTATCTTCAGACTCTGTATGTGTTAGTCCCCTGAAATGGCCTGCTTGTGGTTTTGGTGGGAAGTAGAAATGCAGTAGTTAATTTTCTATACCTCCCCTCAGTTCCCTTAGGGTGACTGGCATATGCTCTATGCTTACATTTGGCTTTTTGTTCCCTCTCCTGTAACAAGTCTTCTCTTCTTAAGTACTGCATCCTCTAATGATTGCAGAAAGTTCACTTTAAAAATTTGTTCCAGTTTTTGTTTTAACAATAGTGTCTCCCAGGAGACTTTGTTTAGTAGGACTTAAATGGTCTTGTTAGAGTTTGCAGGCAGGATTTAGCAAAAGAAAAGGCTTCCATCAGCAATCCAGGCTCCTTAGGGTGATAGGGAAATAGAGCAAAGTAGCACCAGCACACAGCTTATTTTGGAAAGACGTTAACAGTCTGCAAACATTGAAATATCTCTTTATTTTAAGGAGCACTCAATTAAGTCACAAAAACTTATGTTGCCTTTATTTTTACATGTCAATTTTAAAGCCACAAAACTAATGGAGTCTAGTTATGGATAAAAATGGGGCTGGCATTGCATCTTTAACATATGCTGTTAATTTTTTAAGTGTTTTCATACATCTGTGTGGCTCACAGATGAAGTTCCCACCCCTGACTTCCTGGCTTTTGGGGGGAAGTCAGAGCATTGACATTCCTTTGAAAACTATGGTATCTCTTCACACTGAAAAGAAAATTCAGTGATAGTAACTTACTGGTAATTCATTATTAAAATAACCTGGCCCAAATTTTAGTGAGAAAAGTAATTCATAGTAATGAATGTCAGGCTTAAAAAAATATTAAAAACTAGAGCCACTTCTGCAGTGAAGGAACGCCGAAAATAATCTGAAACCACTGTTTTGTGTTTGTTTGGTTTTTCTTCTATATTTATGACTTTTTTTTTTTTTAAACTATTCCAGGCTTGGAATAATAAATTTCAGCCTGGAGTGAATTTTTTGCCTTCTTATAAATCCTAAAGCAAGAGTTTAATACTACCAACTGGCTTTTTAATGGCTCAGCTCTGAGTCTTGCCCACGTCCCCCCAAAAAAGCTGGAATACTTGAAAACCTCCTAATTAGCCTTACACTTTGCTCTCAGACATCCTTTCCAGTTTATTTTTGAATTTAATAGATTACAGGTTGTAACATTTATGCTGGTTTAATAGGTTTATAGACTCACTTACTGCCTGATCGTGTTGGGCAGTGGATGGCAGCCAGTCCTGGCATGAAGCAGTGAGGATGCTGTGGTTGGCTGAACAGCTGTGTCTGTCTCTCAGTCCTTCCACTTGAGAAGGACACGGAAGAGTGAAGTTTTCATGGGTGGTCATAGCTGACCCCAGGAGAGATTTGGCAAGTCCTGTTTTGATTTGCAGCTGTCATTTAAGTAGGTGACTAACTATTGGTTTGTCTTATTAATTAGGATAAATGCCTTTCTGGGGAGTCATATTTGTTCAGTCATTTTTGATTGAGTGCATTTGACAGATTTTGCCTTTCATTACTGTGGCAAACTTCCTTGAAATTTCCACTAGTCCAAACTCAGTATTTATGAAATTGACCTCATTTTCTACCCACCTAAATACCTAACCTTTCAATCTATTTTTTTTCTTTCTAGTAAAACTTAAAAGTAATCATTTTAATCTGGAGTAAAAAATTAATTAGGATTGGCCTTAACCTTTAAGAAATCTAAGATCTAAACAGTGGTATTTTAATCTAATATGCCTAAAAATTCAGTACAGCAGCGTTTAAGACTATAAAAACACTATGCCTGAGGCTTTCAAGTTAGTACTGTTGATGCAGAAGTCATCACATTTGCCATCTGAGGATATTATCCAAATGATGATTTAGTAGCTTTATAGTAATTGAGTAGATTTTTAGATATAAAGAGCATATTCTCAAACTGAAAGCAAGTTCACTTTGTAGCCGTGTCAGTAATCCTAAAGCTGCACTGTTTCAGTCAATTAGAACATGCCATGTGAAACGGGGCAATTTTTGTCTAACAAATCA